GAAAGGCCTAAAGAGTTCGGAAAGATCCCAACCACTGACATGCCCACAGCACACGGTTCCACCCTGAGACCCCTGGGTTCACTATGAGTCAGGCTTGACTCCATGGAAACTGACTGTGCTTCCTCAAGGAAAGACGACATTCCATTCATTCGGTTCCCCGTTGCCCAGCACAGGGCCTGATCCACAAAGACACTTCAGGAACTGTCTGCTGTGTCAATGGGCCAACGGGCTCAGAAACCCACGGTCACTTTGGTAAAACTTGAACCCGTGTCCTGTTGGCTCTAAAGCCCACCATGCTCTTTCCACTGTCGTATGTCTTCACCCATCCACTCCTGGACGTGGTTTAGGACAGACCTAACAACCTCTAAAGGACCACACGGTCAGCCCTAAGGCCTACACTATGAGCCCCAAGGTCCAGCAGGAGAAGCGGCTGCATCACAAGCCTCAGGCTACCGGCCACTAGACGGACTAGGTGAGACAAGCAGGCCTTCTTTTAACCCCCACCTCTCCTCCCACCCACCCCTGAAAGCTCCAGGGGGCAGGACCTTCTGGGGAGGATCCCCGACAGGTTCGTTCCTCTGGCTCTTGGTGATAGGGGGACAACCACACTGGCCAGGACTTGGCCAGGGCTGCTCTGAGTTCAGCAGTTGAGCTGTGACCCCAACATCCTACCCTCCTATACAATCCTCTTGTCCTCCTGGATGGCCCCCCTGAGAACACAAGCAAGAAGGAGCAGCTCTCTTCTCTCCCAGGCCCTGAGGCCCAGCCGGGCCTCTACCCCTTCACAAAGGATCCTGCCTTTCCCACCCAGGCTCTCGGATGGGGACGAGGAAGGAGTCTGAGCCAACGGGGTGGCTGAGACCCCCTTCATTACCAGCGCCTCCTCTCACCTGGACAGAGCAGGAGTCGCTTTGCCTTCAGTGAATTTAAGCGTAATCACTCCGGATGCTCCCCCAGAAACTTGCCCTGAGGAACAGGGAAAACACTCAACACCTTCCCCCAAGGTTAGCAGTCACACACAACTGTTCCGTGTCCGCAGTCCCTAGACCATCACCCAGGATTTGGAGTCTACCTCAGTCCCTGGAGCCCGATAACGCCTCTTCATCCCCACTGCTTCCACCCCAGGCTCAGGCCTCCATCCTCCGGCTTGGATTTCTACGATAGCCCCCGACTAGTCTCCTCCCAGTGGCCCTTGCTACACTGCGTTCTCCGTAGAGAACCAGAGTCTTCTGGGGTCTGTGCCTGTCCACCCCTAATGAAGCGGCTTCATTGTCCTGAGAGTGACGTTCACAGCCCTGAGCTCAGCTCACAAGTGGGCCTGCATGACCAGGCCTCTGTTTACCTCTCCTACCACTTCTCAACACCCAGTCCACCCCAACCTCATTCGCCAAGTGCACCAGCCTCCCTTCTCCCTACCCGGACTAAGAAGTCACCTTTTGTTAGCCTACTCCCCCATGGCTTCTGTGCTCCCCGAGCACCCAGTACTGGCCCTTGTTGAGCTGCTCAGACTGCACTGGCAGGGTTGATGGCTTGACTTTTTCTTCCAGTAGATTCGGAAGCGTGCCTTGGGGCTAGGATGGTGTACTGCACACTGTTGGATCCCAGAGTCACACCACAAGTGCTCCACAAATGTTTGTTGAATGGATAGGTGGGCGGAGGGGTTGATAATAGATGGATGAACTGCTTCTCTGTTAGGTTCTAAGACGGTCCGGCCACCCTGGCTCACCCCGACGCCTAATGGAACCTGGCCTAGCAGCTCTGGGGACACTTGAAGGTGCAAGCCAAGCCTTCTGGACACACACCCTGTGAGAGGGAAACCCAAGGGACCGGCTCTCTCTGGAGCCTTCCAAATAGGCCATGGAGAGGAGCCAAGGGGGCCTGGCCCCCATCTGTGTACAGTCAGAGAACAGCCGGCCAGCCAGCTCCCTGAGCGCTCCCTAAGGACAGGCAACGTGTGGACACAGTTGATGGATGGCCTGACGGTCAGGGTGGCCTCCAGGAACTGTCCCTGCGGAGCTGGGGTCATCAGGGTGCCCCGCCCAGAAGCCTGGAGGAGGCGAGAAGACGCTTTTCTTGGCATGGAACTGGGACCAGAGCGAATGCCAAGAAAAGAAGCAGAAATCAGAGTGGGAGGAAGAAGAGGAGGAGATAGACAAGGGCCACAGGAGAAGCCGCAGCACACCCACACCAAGCTCTTTAGAATCTGCCCCCCAGAAACTGGAAAATGCTGGCTTCACCCTGACACTCTCTGGTTGTGACTTGAGCCCTCACTATCTACCCAGGTGGGGACAGAGCCAGGGCTTCCCCTAGCCCTGTTTCTTTGGCTTGGAGGCACCTGGGGGTGGGGTTTTCTACTACATCCCTGCAGATCCCCCAGGCGAATGCCCAGGGAAGAAGTCCTCTGGGCACCAGGTAGGCTTGCCCCCTGGGGGCTGGAGCATGCCAGTGTTTCAGGGATACAAGCTGTAACTCAGAATCCACCGGGGGCCTCCAGGGCTGAACCATCCTCTTCCCTAGGGATGGGGAAGCAGCAGTTAGCTGGGAAAGGTGACGGGCTGGGAAATGTGAGATGCCAGGATGATCCCTGGGCTATAAAGAGAGAATGAAATGGCATCTGGGATGCCAGGCCCAGGGCCCCACAGAGGCCTGTGCTGTGGTTCAGCAGGAGCTGGCAACCGTCCCCCAGGAGATTCTTTAAGAGAAAGAAAATTCCATCTGTTAAAAGCAATGTGAGCCTGGGAGAAAGCAGACAGCTATAACAGCATGTTACGGTGTTTGGTGCTCAGGTAAAGACCCTTCCTGTTTACTCCCGTCTCGGAGCCATGGTTCCCCATGCTGGGTCTCGCCTGGTTGCTGACACCTGGTAGATGCTCAGTGTGTTTTTCTGGAATCAATGAGGCCAGTCCTTCCTGGGGTTCCACAACTGCCCCTCTGCCCCACTCCTTGTCACTGTCGGACTGCCTGAACCTAACCAACCTGAGGGTGAAGGAAGACCGGGCACCCAGCTCCAGTGCCTCCTGTCAGCGTCTGACCTAGCTGCTCCCCGCCCCCTTCCAGGCCCGATTGATGGCTGTTAGGTAGAGAGCCATCCTAAGCATCCGCTTCCCCTCCCCAGGAGAGCGGCCTGCTCTGGGCTGGGACTCAGTCTGCTTCCGGTCCGTTTCCTCCTATTTCTGACTTTTCACATCTGGCAGGACACTTAGGGCAGGAAGGTCCTGGTCAGGCTCTACGCTGGACAAGCCATGGTCCTAGAACCCACAGCTTGGAGGAGGGCTGGCCAACGGCCATTTGGTTTTTAAGGTGCTGTCTCCAGGCAGGACGTTCTACAGTGCTCTGCAGCCACCCTAACACAAGACCCCTGGGGTGAGAACTCTCAGGTGTCCTGCCATGAGCCACTCAAAGTTTACTCAGGCTCTATAGCTCCCATCACCTTCATCCCCTGCTGTTGTGTATGGGAGGTTACGATATAGTCCAAGGGTCAGTTAGGACATGCTATCTATCCCTGTAGGTTTGAGACCAGGGCCACACTTTTTCTTTGTCCAGAAGAAGCAACCAAGCCTCTTAAGAGTTCAAGTGACCTTTATAAACCCAAACCAGACTCACTGCCATTAAGTCAATTTTGACCCTCTAGGACAGGGTAGAACTGTCCCCTGTGCATTTTTGAGACTGTAGCTCTTTACAGGAGTAGAAGAACCTCATTTTTCTCCTGCACAGCTGGCTGGTGGTTTCCAATGGCTGACCTTGGGGTTAGGGACCCAACTGCCACCACTATGCTACCAGGGCTCCTGACCTTCATAAAGCGCATGTCAGACCCACGCACTCCTGCAGAGGCGTCCCACTGCACTGGGATGAAAGGTGAACTCCTGCCTCGGTGACTGGGCCCTCCGAATCTCTACAGTTTCTCCTACCATGTTTCCCTGAAAGTAAGACATGCCCCGAAAATAAGACCTACTTACAGTTTTGCCCCTCGCTGAAATATAAGGCATCCCCCCAAAATAAGACCTCCCCGAACGTAAGGCCTCCCCGATAAGAAGGCCCCCCGAACCACCATAACTCTGAACCGTAGCAGCAGGCACCACCGCACAGCTCACTGTTGGCTGCAGTGCAGCCGGAGCAGACAGGAAGTGCAAGTAAATGTACCATAGATTATGAGTAAATGTACCATAGATTGTTGTACATGGAAATAATGGTCGTAATAAGAAATTCTTGATACTGTAGGAGTCACAGTTTGTCTGGTTATGCTGGTTTGTGATGACAACTACTACCGTACCGTATACAGGTAATACATTTCCTTTTTTTTGTTCAACAATAAATGTGCACCGTATTCTTTTTCATGGAAAAATAAGACATCCCCTGAAAATAAAACCTAGTGCATCTTTGGGAGCAAAAATTAATATAAGACACTGTCTTATTTGGGGGGAAACATGGTACCAGGGGGTAGCAGGAGGGATGACTTGTTAGCTCCTATTCCCCAACCTGGGGCTCAGAAAACATGGTCCCCAAGCCCCTAACCCATCCTTGTATCATCAAGCTCAACTCTTTCTCAGCAATTGCCACGCAATACCAGACCCCTCTTGGGTTTGGGGGTTGGGGACAGAGATGAGGTTAAAGTTCAGCACAGCAGTCTCCAGAAAAGCAGGATGCCGAATTCAATCCAGCCAAGCCAATGGGCATGGACAAGTGAGAGAAGGCACCAAGCCATGGTACCTCTGAGGTGCACCTCTGATAGGATTCTACCCTGCTGAGCCCCGGGGGACTTGTCTTCAACTCTCGGATACAGTACACAGGTAAAGGGGTGACTGCCTTCATGGGCACCTGGCGCGGGGCGGGGAGTGGCACGGCTTCCCCACTTAACGGACATACTGGACTCTTGACCACAGCCTCCAGGCACCCCAGGCACCCACCATCGGAGTGCAACCACAGGAGATGCCCTCATGCGGACACAACCCACCCCCGACCCATCCCCTTTGCCCGGCCTCGCAGGCGCGCACCCCACTCACATCGGCTGGCTCCCTGCGTGCTCCCTCGCCGCTGCTCCGCAGCCAGCTCCGGCTCAGCTCGCTGAGCTCCGGGATGGGCTGCACCTTGAGCCGGACGCTGTCCCCGGACTGCCGGATCATCTCCACGATCTCATCCCTGGACTTGCTCTCCACGTTGTGCCCGTTAATCTCCACCAGCCGGTCGCCCGGCACCAGCCCCAGGGCCAGGTCCTTGGTGCCAGCCCCGGGCTCGGCGAAGTGCACCACCCGGCGGTAGGCCTGGCCCTCGGCGGCCCGGTCCAGCGTGGTTGTCCGCCTCAGGGAGAAGCCAAAGTCTCCGGTGGGCCGGCGCTGGAGCTCCAGCTCCCGGGGGGCAGGGGGCGGCGGGGGGACCACGGGGGGCAGGCGCAGGTCCGCCTGGAACCGTTTGGTCACCAGCTCGGGGGCTCGGGCCCGGTGCCCTGGCCGGGGGAAGCCCGGGCCCGGTGGGGGCATCAGCTGACCCTCCAGCGTCCTCACCTCCACCTGCGGGGATGGGGCAGCCGAGTGCTCGGAGGGGGTGGACGTTTCCGAGGCGCTCCCGTCCCGGCTCCGCTGGGAGAAGGAGAAGCGCTTGACAATCATCTGCGAGTTCTGCTTGGCCAGGGAGCCGAACTTGGCGGCCCGCTGCAGCACGGAGCCGCGGAAGCTGCCTTCCTCGCCCTTGAGGTCGTCGCTGGAGCTGGCCGTGCTCAGGTGGCCCGAGTCCAGGATGACGCTGCCGCGGTTGCTGTCCGAGTCGATGTCGGTCAGGTGCAGGTCGGAGCCGCTGGCCACCTTGATGGGGATGGGGTTGGAGATTTCCAGGCGGGTCTTGGACTCGCGCTTCGAGGAGCGGTTCAGGTTGAAGAAGCCCCGGCGCAAGCTCATCTCCTCCAGGCTGCGCAGCTCGGCGGCCGACATCCGCTCCTTCTTCTCCTTCTTCTCCTTCTTCTCCTTCCGCCCCCCATCTTTGTCCTTGTCTTTCTTCATTAAGTTGAACATGGCGGGGGTGCTGCTTTGAGGGGGTAGGCACCCCCTAGAGGATTCTAGGTGATTGACGCAGGGCCTTGGTACCCCACCTTGCTGCTGCAAATAAACACAAACACACACACACACACAACATGCAGAGAGAAAGGTTATTCCAGTAGAAGTTCTTCCTCTGTCTTGGGGCCAGATCTGGTCAAATACTAAACCCCAAACCCCAAGCCCAATACTCCTTAATTCGGCCTCACGGTGACCCGACAGGGCAGAGTAGACCTGCCCATGGGGTTTCCAAGGCTATAAATCGGATGGCCACATCTTTCTCCCGCAGAGCGGCTGGCAGGATCAAACTGCTGACGTTATGCTTAGCAGCCAAGCGCTTCACCTCTAACCCCACCAGGACTCCTAGGCTAAACACCACCTATAGTACAGTGCAGAATTTCTCCTCAGGGTTTGAGACTGTCGATCTTTTTTGGGGCAGACAGCCCCACCGTCCACTCACAGAGTGGTTGGGGGGATTCAAACAGCACACCTTGGGCTTAGCAACCCAATGCTTACCCCTTACTGAATGCTAGCTGTGTGCAGGGCACTCTGTTTTACATAACATTGGTCCCTTTAATGGAATCCTTAGAACCTGTCCATGGATAAGTCCGTCCTGCTATTACCGCCATTACACAAATAAGGAAACCGGAGCCTCCGTTTGAGGTGCAAAACTCAGATTCCTCTCCTTGAAATAGACCAAGGCTTAGCTGTATCTGGAGGTGGCCTCTGGGAGACCTGACCTAGCAAGGGGGTACATGAAGCCAACCTAGGATCTGATTTAAGATTCAAACACCAAGGAGAGGAAGGGTTCTCTGTACGCCATCACCTCCTCAAAGCCGACGCCCCCCCAAGGTAGCACCTGCCAGATGCTGCTAGGCTCTTCCCGAAGTCTGTTATCATTGAAGCACCCCCCCCCCCCCCTTGGCCACCATCGAATAAGAGCTCAAGTGCCTGCCACCTGCCAGGAGCTTTCCTGGTTCCCCTTTGTTGAACCTCCCGGCACCCCTGTAAGGTCGACATCCTCCTCCATCCTGGACAAATGGAGCTCTGAACATGAGCTATGCATTAAATGCCACCCAGCTAAGAAACGGCACTGCTTCGATTCCAGGGAAAATCCTGTGTCCTTCCTGGGGCCTGGTAGCCCAGCGTGAAGGGAGGAGGGAAGGAAGAGGATGCTCACACTACACAGAGGACAGACTGCTGCAAAGTGGGGGCGAGGGGCTGCTGGGTAAACAGGATCCTGGAAAACTCACATCCTTTTCCCCAGACCAGCACCTAAATATAGCCTGGGAAAGAAAGTGGTGGCAGGCTGAGAGAGAAGCCCAGGATGAGAAAGCTCCACTCCTAGGCGGCGAGTCCCACTCCCACTCAGATCCAATTGGGATGGGGAGGACTGAAAAAACCTGAGGGGGCCGTGGGAGTGGGGAGACTGAGAGAGCCTTTCTGGTCCTAACCAACAGGGAACACGACATCTAAGTAGGCCAGACTACCTAATTAGAAATGAAGTTCTAGTTTGTTCTCTCTCCAGGAGGGCCCCCATTCTGGGTACCAAGTGCAAGATCTACAAGCTTACCCTCTTTCTAGCACTGACCTCTGCCAGCCCTGCAGAGACCTTTCCTCTCTGGGCAACCCCCAAGGAGAACCCCCGTTGGTATCCCCTTCTACCAAGAGTGACTCCCCTATCAAGGACAATTCTCAGGGAAGCAGGAAGGCCAGGAATCCCCCTTTGTCCGGCGCCCTGATCCTTCTGCTTCCTAGGAGACTCACACATCTCCTTCTAGAGCAGTGCAGTGCATAAGGAATGCAATCCCAGCCACAGATGCTAGTCAACATTTTCTAGAGCACTTGCTGTGCTAATGGCAAAAAGCAGCAGGCGAGGTTAACTTTGATAACCTACTCACTTAGCCCATATATCCTAAACATTGTCATGTCAACGTGTAACCAATATAAAAAACCACTGAGCCATTTTATTCTCCTTTCCATATATATCAATCATCTTGGAAACGTGGTCAGTCCTCAGAGCATCTCTCAATTCAGGACCACCACCGGTCCAGGGATCAACACCCATGCCCGGCTCCTTCCAATTGCCATCGAGTCAACGCCAAGGTGCTGCAGCCCCACACGTGTCAGACTAGAACTGTGCTCCATGGCTTGTCCATGGCTGGTATTTGGGGAAATCGATTGCCAGGACTCTCTTCCGCGGTGTTGCTGGGCTGACATGCTGCCAAGCTTTCAGTGAGCAGCCAGAGGCTCCCATGGGCGACAAGCGACTGTCCTATTACACTGTGCAATTCTAGAGAAAGCTTGATTTGAGAAATGGGACGTCTGAATAGTCATGGCATTCAGTCCTTTCTCTCTCTGACCGACGTTTCTACCTGGCAAAACAAAGTTCTCTAGCTGCTCCATGCTTCGTACCTGAGAGCTGCAGGAACAGGAGGAGATCCAGGGCCCAAGAAATGTACAGGCAGGCCACCTGGATCTGGACTGGGATAGGTTGGGGGAGTGCCTGCCAGCCCTCATCCTCTCCTCCGGGTTCTGCTTGGCACAATGAACTTCCATCTTCTCCTGAACATGGATGGGGGTGGGGTGGGGTGGTGGTGGCACAGGCCAGTCACATACTGGACATGGGACTCTGCCACACATCTATTCTAGGGCCAGCAGCTGCAGCATTCACACCAAACTAGGAAACCCTCCGTGCCCCTCTCCCTGAGGAAGATGTCCACAGGATCTTCAGCTGGTCACTGCCCACCTTACCTGTCACCCACCACCACCCACACTGTCTCAAAGGGCTGGTTGAGAAGGTAGCTCCAGGGGCACCTGTGGGAAGGATGAAGCCAAAGTCTTCCCCAGAGACTTGGAGGGGACAAACGAGCGTCTATCAGCCTCAGTCCTGCCATAGAGGGCCAGAGTCACTACGGTGCTGCCCCCCAAGCCACCTTTGTTTACATGCCAGTCCTCACTCTGCAATCCTTCCCCAAGCCTGGCGCTTGCTGGGGCCTACAGATCGGAGCCATCTCAACGGAAACCAGCTCCCAGAATTCTAGAACCTTTGGGTTGGAAAGGACCCTGAGAAATAATTTCATTGATTCCCGGTTTCTACAGCAGCAACAGCCAGCCTGCCTGCCCTTCACTGCCACTGTGCCAGGCAGGGACAGAGGCACAGGGTAGGGGCAGGGTATGTGTGTGTGCTTGCTCGATGGGAATTGGAGGATACGGGCTATCTAGGCCGGGAGCTCTCAATAAATCGCTGGGGGCCCTTGAACCTGTCACTCTGCTCCAGGCTAGATGATCCAGGTCTCATCTAGCTCTAAAATCCCACATTTCGAAGTCTCTTGTGAACACAGGTTAGGGATTAACCTTCTGCCAAGGTACCCCCCTGGGTCCAGCATTGAGGCCTTCAGAGACCGATGTCCTTCCCCACCTGTCCAGTCACTGTTGTCTGCACAGCTCACACGGTACCTGCTTCCTCACTGTCACCCCACAGTTGCCAGGCCTGCCCATGACCTGGGTTCTCTCCTGCACCACAGGCCCGAGGTGCAGCCTCCCTCCCCAGAGCTGGCTCTGCAACGCAGCTACATTGCTCTAAAGCTCACCAGTCTCCAGCTCACCAGAGACCTGGGCCCCATCACCTCCTTGCCGATCCAGGACAGCTCAGTGTGTTGGCTTCTCAAGTCCGAAGTCCCTAGCAGCCCTGACACTCACACCCCGACCATACTAGGCTGCACCCGCATCTTCTTCCTCCCGGACCGTCTCCTTTCCCTCTGGAAAGAAGCCTCACAGTTAGTTTCCCAATCTCTACCTTTTCTCCCTCACCCCACCCAGGGGGCATTCCCTCACTTTAAGTAGAGGAAAGCTATGTACGTAGATTACGTTATATACTTAAATTATCTCCATCCCACTCTCCCGCAAACCAAAGTACAATCTGCCATGTCGGCTGCTTTTTCACTGTAAAACAGTACAACATCTTGAGTTGAGGGCAGAGAGCACTCCATTCAAATAAGCATGGCTCTGCCCAGCAGCAGCAGCAGAACAGATTCACCCATGTGTACATGGTCATACAATGGAATACTCCTCGGCTGTAAAAAGTATGTGTACAACATTGATACCCACAACAATAGGGGTGAATTAAAAAAAATATCGTGCCAAGTGGGAATGGAGGAAGCTGTTCACGGTTAGAGTACATATTGTCTGACCTATGATGTTCTATTACGAAGCTCTGCTGGAGGGAAAAAAACCCCCGGACAGTGGTTAACACTGGGAAAGGGGGGTGAGAAGTGGTTGAGAAAGGGCAGGAGGTGACCTTTCCAGGGTGATGCCCATGTTCGCCGCCTGGATAAGGAGTGGGTTTGCACAGGGCTATGCACTTAGCAACACTCGCTGAATAGAGCAGAGCACCTTAAGGGCGTGGAAATTTCACTATAATGTAAATATTAACTCAAACGAACTATAAACAACTACTGAACGCGAGTTAATGATATACACGCAGAAGTAACTGGGAAAAAGCAAATTGAGGCTTGCGATTTACTTTGAGAAATGTCAAAAATTGCAGACCGATTAATGGATGGCTTAATTAAGGGATTAATAGACAACAAAATGCAATGTTGATTATAGACTCTAAGAAGTAAGGGTGGTCATTGGACAATTCTAGGGCTTTCTGAATGTTTAAATTTTTGTGATAAAATGTTGGGGTGGGTGGGGAATATCACATAAACACCTACTAAGTGCAAGGGGGATCCCAAGCGGTGTAGCAGATTGTGGGGGGTGCTGCTAACCTCAAAATCAGCAGTTCCCACCTACTACCCGCAGCTCCGGGGAAAAATGAGTCCTTCTGTTCCTGAAAGATTTACCGCCTTGGAAGCCCAAAGGGCCAATTCTACACCGTCCTTCAGGGTGGCTGCTGTGAGTCAGAATCCACTCAATGGCAGCAGGTCTGTTTTGATTTATTAGGGCGAGGGACATAAAGATAAACACAACCAGTGAAAGAGCTCAGCCTTAGGGGCATGTGGGAACAAATCCCAGTTAACAGCTGTGGACAAGTCACTAACCACGTCGATGCCTCTGCT